AATAACCTACGTTTGTTTTCCATGTCAATCAGTATGAATAAAGTAAATAATAGACTATGTGAACAAGAAAACCCACTTTTTTCCCGGTCATTTAAGAGCAGGACAGTGATTTAGAGCATAACCAGGAAAATGGTACATTATAACCACTAATTTTATTTGTTTTTCTGACATCAATAACCTCCCCTCACACACTTTTTTGAATATTGTGGTATAGAATAGTGACTAATCACTCAGGTAAATGGATGAAGTGCATTGATAATTTGCTGAATTCTCTTTGCAGATGGTTATTAAAAACAGTAGTTCCCTTATAGTCCTTAATGCGATTACTTATGTGGATACGGTTTACATGAATAAAGACTACTTATGTGCCCACTTTGAAAGACTGGGTCACTATAGTATTTCATATGGGACAGCTTCCTGATTATACCTAAGATGACAAGACCAAAGTTTGTATAATAGTAGATGTAATATGGATTGAAACCCATGGCTAAGAGTAATTTCCCTTCCTCTCCTTATTGCTGATCGGTTGCTTCATATTTCAACTAAAGATTTGTTTTTGTGAAAAGCTTTAAAAACCATGCAGACGCAAGCAAACAAAGCTTTGCATGCTTTACATAGTCTCTCTGACCTCAGAGGAATTACCTGAAATGGAATAAAATAAGATACCTTTATTCCATGTAAGAGCGCAGAGCTGCAGTGCTTGTAAGCTGATATAGGAACTGGTTTCTGCAGAAGGAGGTAACCACGTATCCGTGGCTGCCTGCTCCTGCTGCTTCCCTGTGGCTGAAACTGCTTCTCACTAGTCTCTGCACCCAGTTGTAGGAGCTAAACCAGTAGACAACTAACCTTACAAAAAAAGTGGATATTCTGCCAGTCTAAATCCCTGGCTTACTGTCATCTCCATCAAATGACAGTGTTCATGCAAGCAAGGGATGAAAGAGGGCGGGAAAAGGGACAAAGGATCTTCTTTTTCTTACGGTAGCTGTTAGTCATTAGATTGGTTTAGCTGTATCACACAGTTGTGCCAGTGTCTTTGCGGAGAGCATATAATAGAGCCTTTTCGATGGCGTCTTTTCACTGTTTGTACGTGGCTACTGCAATGACAAGGAACCTGAGGACAGAAACACTTTGTGACTTTATTTCATTTAGTTCATCGCAACATGATTTCTTCCTCTTTGTTAATGGCCAGTGTATGTGTTAAAGCATGATCTGTGCAACTTTCAGGAAAGAAAAGGTTCAAACAGCCAAGCAGATGGGTGTCAGAAGTGAACATGAATGTTTAAGTGGCGAGGTTAGGAAATGGTGATCATAACAAACAATGGAATTCAGCAGACTTTCCTTGATTTAATGCTAGGTTTGTGTATAACACTGCATCTACACTAAATATGTTATATTTATATTTGTGAGTAGCAAAATAATAATCTTGAACAGTAACTTGCCTTCTTGCCAGGAACAAACTTCCCACAGAAGGAAAGGCGTCAGGGCCATAACTTAGTGCCAGATGTACTGTGCAAATATGACTGAAATGTCATTCACCTGAAGGAAAGAAATTTAAAGTTACCATGAAGGAACAAGAACAGGTAGAATTTATATATATTTAAAGGTCTTTGCTGTGTATGTTTAAACATAATCTTTAAGTGCATTCAATTTTATGTAAAATAAATAATAATAATTACTTAGCTTTATTTTTTCCAGGAGCATGATTATGAACACTTAAGTTTTTGGTGTACAAAATCAGACTGATTTATGAGATAGCTATTGATGATTTCACTACATGATAAATGCTATAAAAGTGGCAGGTTAATTACAGGATATACTGTTAATGGGTGAGATATGGTTATGTCTGTTTTCCAAGTTACACTCTCATAATACAGTGTTACATCTTCTGGAACATAATATATACATATGTTATGCATAGTCATCAGGAAAGCTTCACAGTCTGTACACATAGATATCTCTGAGTGTCTGTCTTCAGTCCTTCTGCAGATTGATTTTAGGAAGGATTACTTGCATTAGCAGAGAATGCAGGACTGTTTGCAGTGGTTTTGAATAATGAATTTCTGTATGATTCCAGAAATGACATTCAGTTCCTCAAATATTTTCTGTAAAGCAAGCAGCATACTTTGAAGTCTGTGCTAGGAGAAAAAGAAACAAAACCAAAATGCTAAATCCTAAAATACCATCCTCCTTTTGTGGAATAGTTCAGTGGCTTAATGAGGTTAATTTGTATTACGTTGTGGGAAATCCTTTATCTACTGTATAGAGGCTTTCTTTTCACATGAATGTGACAGATACTGTACTTACTGCACTGGAACTTAATTATTTGATAGCATAAGGAGCTGAAATCCCTACAATCCCTCTCAAGGAATATTCATTCCATACTCTAAATGGTAAATACAAACTAGAGGATCGTTGACCTAGATTTTCAATGTTTGAAATATCTTTGTATACTTTTTTGTTTGTTTGTTTTATACCTAGAAAATTTCAAAGCAGCTTTATTAAAGATTCCCAAAAATACTATCAGTAGTATGTGATTATTTTTGTTCTCTCCCATTTTCACATATCTTTTTACCCTTTGAAATGCTTTTCTGTATTCATGAATGTAAGAGACCGTTTCATTTAGTTACACTTTTTTCCCATGAAAGTCTTAAAATGCCTGAATTTCTCTCCCTAATTGCTACAAACCAAGTCTTTCAAAAGTTTTGTTTCAGTGTGAACATTTCCCTCACAGCATTTTACAACAGCTCTACTAAATGGCTTCCATTCCAGACGGCTATTGGTGCACATTGCACTTTGTTTTATCTTAGCAGGTATATTATGGCATTTCTATAGACCTAGTAGAGCTGGGTAAAGCTATTTAATATGAGAGCAAGGAGACAAAATTCCAGGATCAGTGATACACATCAGAATACTAATAATACTAATAATACTAATAATACTGAAAACTAATATACTGAAAAATTAAGTGAGATGAAGTTCACATCCTACCACTAAATATACTTTCTTTTTTAGATTCAGTGTCTGAGTTTTTAATGTACCTTTCATAAAATACAAATAAGGGAATTTGTGTTAACATGTGTGGGTATAAAATGTGTGATTGCTTATCAAAATAAAAATTAATGTGAACTTACAAAAGCAGCCTGTGTTTGTTCTACTATATATTATACTTTAGAAATATATCCTAGAATAACTTCTTAGCATATTCATAAATAAAAAAAACTTATGACAGTTTTATTGAGAAAAATGAATGTATTTATTTAAATTATTTTATTGGCATATATACCAGTGAAATTGTTTGGAAAATAATTAAAAGTAATTTTTACAGCAGACTGTGCTGGTAGCTGTAAAAATATTTGATCACCATCAAAGGTATGAAAATATCAGAGCAAAGTTCACACAGATATGAATTGCTTTCCTCATCTTCTATTGAATTAAAAGTGATAAATAGTTCAGAAAAAAAAAAGCATTTTTATGCAAAAAAGATTTTTTTTCTCCTAGATTTCTGATTTATATGTAACATTTCAGTGTATCACAATATGATGGATCATGGGTTAATTGTTCACATTGTGTTAATTCATTTCAGCTATAGTACAGCATGATGTGATAGAGTATAATCTCACCTGACATAGTACGATGCAATGAGTGACAACAAAGATCACAGACTGTTCAGTGGACTTTGTTCTACTGAAAAATGCATAACTGCCTGCATGAAATGTTTATGTTTATGTTTTGCTGATGAAGATCCAGAGTCTAATTGCTGCCTGTGGCTTTTGCCTCTAGGCACATTCTTGGGGTCCATTGCCTACATCAAGTTTGTTTTCCTTCCTCAACCCTTTTGGGAGCTGATACTGTGCAATAACAACTGAGTGGATCCAGAGATCAATGTTGGGCTCCTGAAAGCTTGTTAGTAGGGCCTTCTCCTTGTGGAAGCTCTCATTTATTGTTTGCCATTAGGGATATAAAAGGTAGCTGAAGCATTCACTACATAGACATTGCATAAAGCATACAAAAAGTTAAACAGCATAAAAAATAGAGGACTTAGGGGTAATATTAAAACACATATTGCTTTGCATAATTAATGTTCCTCCCTGTACAAGGTTGTAGGTCAATACCAGCAAAAAGTTCAGATTTCTTTCTCTCTTCCTTCTGATGGAAATGAACTATCCCCAGAAATATCTGGTCTTGTATCAGTCACCACTGAAAGTTCAGTTAAAATGACTTTTTCTGAACTCTGTAGTTTTCCTTTTACCAAATTGGTCCTTTCATAGGACACCAGTAGCATGATTCTGGTGATCAGTTAAAGCAGCATAGGTGTGGGTGATGGGTACTGAATATGGGATAATGAAGACTGTCCTGTTGCCTCCCTGTATTTGAAAAATTTGGTTCCCCATGTTCCCAGACTTTCTTTGCAGTGCCAGGCAGAAAGATTTAAAATGTGATTCCTTAGTAGATTTTATTTCTGGGTTCTGTTGGTGGGTTGTCCCAGTGTCCTGCCAGTTCTTCTCTGTCCATCTGTAGGAAGGTTTTGGGATATCATATCATGCATCTGCCCTAGACATAAAGTCTGGAGACATAGGTTCTGAAAACATATGCATGTATGGGTATTTTAACATTGATACATTTCCATTTCAAGATTTCTCCCTTAGGGAAAGGAAAAAAAAGTCTTGGTAGAGATACGCAGCTGTTTGTGGAAGTCCAGAAATTAATATAGTTTCTACGTTAGTTTTATAATGTTTCTGCTTCCCACTTCACTGGAACAGTCCCATATGCAGCCCTCTCCAATTGTTCTTTAGTCAGTGTTTTCTGCCTCAGAGAGTTATACTACGTTTAGAAATCAACTTTACATTCTGGTGTTAGTAGCATTGTAATTCTAGTTTCATGCATGGCAGATTGCCTTACAGAGCCAAGTTTAATGCATTTCTAATTAAAAAAAAAAAACCAAAACCAACAGTATGATGCTACCTTGCAATGTTATCAAATTGCTCATCTTATTTTCACAGCTCACCATGTTAAAACTGGGACCTGTGAAGTGGTGGCACTCCACAGATGTTGCAATAAGAACAAGATAGAAGAAAGATCACAGACAGTGAAGTGCTCCTGCTTCCCTGGGCAGGTAGCAGGTACCACCCGGGCAGCTCCTTCTTGTGTTGATGGTGCGACTACTCTATTGTTTCCTTTCATTGCATGTTCCTAGGGGGTTTTGCTTGCTTAATGTCACCAATGAGAACCACACCATTACAGTTAGCTATTTCAAATAAGAGTAGGAAGCCTTCTGCATTTTGAAGGGCATGCCCAAGGTGAATGGGAGGAAGATGGGAAAAATGAATTATTTGCTATTACTCTATGGAAATGCTATGCAAAATTATTAGATGCCAGTGAAAGAGACCTCTTGAGAAGCTAAATTTGATCTAACAGAGTGCCCTCAGAGTTGTATGAAAGTCACTTAATTAAAAGTGTTTATGCAAAATCTACATGAGCATATTGTTTTCATGTGCTGCAATCTTACATTTTATTTGTATATTTATTTTTATCATACAGGAACAAACAAGCAAACAAGCAGAACACAGTTCTGGCTGGTTTTTAGTCTTTTTAAACCAACACTATTTTTCCTATTCACAGTGCAATATTAATGTTTTATTTAACAAATCTGGCATAGGCTCGTATGTTTTATTTGGGAAAATACTAGCTGATTTTTCACATCTCTTTCTCTGAAAGAGGACCAGGATGGATTCACCCTTTACATGATCTCTTTACCGTTGATGGGTTGTTGGCTGTCAGAGAAGCTGTAAATATGTCATCATTGGAGAGTAAATTTAATCAGGCTATGCTAGACTACATGGCAGATCAGGCAAAATACACTAACTCAAAAGAAGATGTTCTACTTAAAACTTTGAAATCTGGCTGAGCAAAAAAAAAATGAGGGTTGGAAAGAAATGCTGTGAAATTTGTTCCTAAACTGCAGTAAATTTGAAAAAAACCCAAACAAACCAAAACCACAGTAAAGAGATTGACTTTGAAGCACATAGCACCTTGTGCAAATTGAGACCTAATTTCTTATGAAGATTCTGAGCTGGCTGAAAATCACAGACTAGTTGTCAGTCAATGTATTTCTAAGATTTTCCTGGAAAATAAAAGAAATGTTGCAACATAATGACATATTAAAGTGTCCATTTCAACAACATGAAAATGTGTTTGTGTTCCTTTCTTGCAGCTTCAATAGTGGAGCAGAAATGGTGGTGCCACATGCAACCATGTCTTGAAGGGGAGGAATGTAAAGTTCTTCCAGATCGTAAGGGATGGAGCTGTTCCTCTGGGAATAAAGTGAAAACAACTAGGGTAGGTATGATACCAACCTTACATGTTACCAACAGGTAAAAAAACCCAAAGTGCACAGGAAATTCAGTGCACATAGAAGACATCAGTTGAGAAGATTAAAGAAGCGTGGGAAGAAAGTCATACTGGGATTGGACTTCCTGGTCCTGCACACTTTTCTCAGCACACTTTGTAATTGCTTGAACATGGTAATCAGTGTGCCAGACCTTCTCAGGTAAGCAGTGGAGATAGTAGAGTTGACACCTTTTTCAACTACCAGTAATGATTAAATGTATTATAATCTGAACTGTATTTCTCTCTGAAACCAGTTGCACAAAGTCCATACACCCTGCTAAGCTCTTCATTCATAGGATAGCAAACAAGTGTATTTTTATCAATAACATGGAATTACCATGTTTCTACATAGAAACTGCTGAGTATGGTAAGCATTTAATGTGTCATGACAGTATGATCTTCTGGTTCTTTCTGTCTTGTATGACTGGGATTTACTAAAAAAATTTGACACAGTTTCAATGAATTCCTTTTCTCCATTTGACACTTCTCATATTATTGGTTCAAAATTACATTAACAGAAATACATCTGACATTCGTCATACACAATGCCTGAAACCAAAGTAAACCTGCTGTCATCTCAGGTTTTAGTGACTAACAGAAACAGAAGGATAACAAATTCTTCAGATAAACATTAAGCACTGAAACTTCCTAAAAATACAGTGTTGTATCTCTATAGGGTCAACGCAGTTCTTCATCACCATAAACCAGATTAAAATGCACTCTGAAGACACACATGCACATATGTAAGCATAAAAACCTTTACCCCTACACCCCACTACACATACTGATGACTGGTTTTTCTTGTAAGTATTTAGTAATTGTTTGCAGTGTAAGGCCATAATTTGCTTGTGTGCTGTTTACTCTATGCAGGTGTTTGAATGTCTACGTCATGTGATTGAAATCTTCCTTGCATAGGCACTAAATTTTTGGTACACCTTGGTTGTAGTGGAATGTAGTGTACAGTGAGTGAATTATGTTACTTCTGTTCCACAGAGAGCTCTACATCTCTCAGTTTCTGTATGTACAGGTCTTTAAAACATTTTGACATTCTTTGAAGGAAGGATACTTCCTAAATGTTTGATATACAATTACACTCCTACATCCTCTTTCAAATGTGTTTCTTCTGAAGCTAACCTTGCTTGAATGCTGGCCTCATTTAACTTTGTACATGCCAATGCAAATCTGATTCTATGCATGTAAAATGTGTGTGCGTGTATATTATAACCAAAAGGAACTAGATAGAATTTAATAATAGTAATAGAAAAAGAATTACATGTGTGTGAATTTTGAAATTTGTCCTGGCTTCTACTACATGGCACTACTAGTGTTAAAGAAAGCATGCCATTTTATATTTAATGTGTTTAACAAGCAGTAAGTCAAAATGTGGGTCTGGATTATGTTTCTGTAGGCAAAAAGAGTTCTCAAAAGGGGGAGATATCAATCAGAATCACCTTGAGGAGATTTCTTCCTAACATTTTGTCAGAATATAGGGTTTTTTACATTGGTCAAGGTTATGAAGTTCTGTCCACTGTTAGGAGTCTACAGAAGCCTAAGGCTCTTGTCCTCAAGGTCTTATGCTTCTGTTGCAGCCTCTGTCTGGCTCTTCGCGGGAGTTGGACTTTTCGTGTCCTCCATGGATGGTGGCAATCCTCAGGATTCATTTCATACCTCTCCAGAAGTGCAGTTATGAAAAAGCCAGTCCTTTTCTCTATTTGCCATCATATGTGCTGATTCAGTACAATGGCTACCATAACCTGCTTGCAGACCTACCACCACTAAAAGGAAAATACTAATCCCCTTAAATCCCCCACTATTTGTTCTGCCTTCTAATTTGTCCAGATACTATATGTTTGCTGCCTTCTTCCTTCATTTCCCACACAGCTGCAAAGCTGTTTTGAGATAATAGCAAACCTGAATTCAAATTTCTTACAGAGAGGTGGTCTCAGTTATTGAAACCAGGTGGCAGGTGAATGAAGGTCTCTGTCTTTCCAGACACAAAAGGCTGAGATTTTAACAGACATCATTCTCATGCCCAGAAAAATATACATTGCTATTGGAAATGTGAGTGATTCTTTGTGTTTAGAGAGTAGCTTACTATCAGAAAGTATTTTCCCCCAATATGTAGTGACTACAATATTTTTGTAGCTCCTCTTTCTGCTCCCCAAAGTCTATATAAATAAAAGGAAAAGTTCTAAAGTGGTCTGTGGTTTCAAAACCTTCTTTTTTTGAGAAAAATAAAAAGAACTGCACAGAGAATCAGTATTAAGAAGTAATGAATAAGTTTCTCACTGATGAATGAAATAACCCATATGTGATTGTCATGTATAATGTAAAAGCATAAAGAAACACTGGGAACTGAACAGCTTGGGTGATTTAACTTTATAGCAGAAAAGCCTTGTGAAGGCTTTCCTGAAAGGTTTAAGAAAGTCTATATTCACCTCCAAACATTTTCTGTAAGTTTTCCTCCTTCATGTGCAGAAAAAGTAACCCAATTAACCGCTGAAGTACTACCTTCTCTTCTACAGGATACCAAGTTCAAAAGCAGCACCTACATTTCCACACCCTAAGCTGTTAATAGTTAAGCATTATGTTAGAGAGAAAACTAGTGGAGGAAGCAGGTATTTTGCTAGTCTACCTCTGTTAGCATATTTAATCACACTGTTGTAAAAGTGATGATACCAACTTCTTAATACATATGGTATCAGACACTAAGCAGAAAGGCCAAGTAAATAATTGGAGAAAATGAACTGATTTTTAAAAATGTGGTCTACTTGAGGTTTTGCATTTTGTTCAGATATGTGGATCTAATAAGGTAATACATGAATAATGAATTAGAAATAGCATGAATGTTATGATACTCAGAATTCAAATGTTAAGAAAAATCAGGTGGAAGTCATTTACCTTCAGAATGCAAAAATAGATATTATGGAAAGATTAAACTGTTTTTCCTAATCTGTCTGCATTTTAGTGGGAGACGGCTGACATTAGGAGTTAACCATGGAAAAGGAATGAATACGGGGAGGGAAGTGTGTATGAATAAGCTGAGTACTGAGTTAACTTGTGCTGGTTTAGAATTGACGATTTTGGGTCTATGTAGCCTGCAGGAGGGGAAGGGGAGAAAATGCAATGACAATTTAGCTAAAACAGTAATTTTTTTGACTTCGTATAAAGAAATGCGTGTTTGCATTCCTGAGAATTATACCACAACAAAAGAGGATGTTCACTCCACATTAGGAGAATTATGAAATGATTATATGCATAGCTGAGATTTACCAGGCACATTGTGGCATTCTCCTCCAGACTGAGAAACTGTTGTGAGAGGAAGCAATTGAATTTTTTTCTATATGGCTGGCCTCAATGTTTTGATAAATAAACACAAATATTTTGTCACGTTACCCTCTTTAAATGATGACAAAAGTGTTAAAAAAAAGGGAAAATCCAAATAATTTTTTTTTACCTTTGAAATATCTTTTCTTCTTACAGCCTTTTTCTAATATAATTATTTTCATTCAAGAAGCTGTCTTGGTTGTGTTTCCTTTCCTTTTTGCAAAATAAGGAAAATGTCTGTTTAAAACAGGGGAATTTTCCCATCAGTTGAAAACTCCAAAATATAGCAGTATTATGTATAAAATTGACAATGACATTAAAAAAATGCTATGAATTTGTATTAAACAAAGAAGCCCTTTACAAAGACTGGAAAACAACATTTTGCAGTCAGATAAGAGCTAAGGAGAATTCATATTTCTCTCTGTTATGGGGTGTATTCCAGAGGTCTCTGGATAGGGGTTATTCAAGCGCAGATCCACATGCCAGGCTTTACTTGTATTTTTAAGAACAGTACGTTGTCCATTATCTTTATAATAGAGGCTGACTTTAAATAAGAGCACCAAAAGCTGCAAGCTAATGTCCAGTCTGAACCTCCCCAGCGCAGCTTTGAACCATTGCGCAGTAATGAAATAGTACCTTGTGCTTAAGCTTTTAGTTTGATTTGGTAGAACTGCTTGTGGAATAAGGTATAGTTTAAGGTTAAGTACTAAGTTCTGGTTAAAATACGTGGAGTGGAACTTACTGGACTTTGCTTAGGTTAGGGCTGTGTAGAGTGAGATGGCTAGCCTAAGCTCTAGGCTGTCTTTTTAGTATTGGAGAGAATTGTTCAATTCCAGAGGACAGTTCATTTTGTCCTAAGATAAGTCAGATGAATTATCTTCTGGAGGTGCTTATGTCTCCCTAATAACTCTAAAGCAAATCTATGATGACTAGCTTAGCGCCTCACATTTAGATACTTAATGTTGAATAGGAAGATGCTGGCTCAGAGACTTTACTCTCTTTGTTGTGGTCTTCAGTAGGAAGATGATCAAAAAAATCGGTAAATCATACTATGATGAGCAACATGTCCAGTATCTATTATTCAGCAAAAATTGGCAACCAGTGCATGTCCTTTTAGAAGTGACTTGTTGGTATAATAATAACAACAACAATAACAACAACAATAATAAACCAAAAAGATCAGATGTAATGGTATTGATTATTAACCTCTGAAAATCTCTAGAAGGTGAAAGTGAACAATGTTTTCCTATAAACAAGTGAAAGTAATATTTGCAGACAGGTCATAAAGGCCCATCTTTTGGAAATGAGCATCCAACTTCTGTAATAGCTGAGCACCCACACTTTTATGAGGGGCAGAAGGAACTGCAATTGTCACTCTGAAAACTGGCTATTATTTTTAATATGTGTGGAAAAGCACACTGCAGAACTGAAAGAAATCAATATCTAATATATTACTATGTAACTATATGCCAAACCAATATTAGAAATAGAGTACTGTAAAAAATAAAATAAATATTACAGGGGCAGAGAGAAATAAAAGAGAAATATTACAGGGCCAAAAATAAATCCATATTGAGTATATTTATCTACATTCCAAATCCAAATCTGCTTTGCAAATCAAT